GAGCTCTTTTCAAGTGGCTAAAGTGCTGGCAATTCATGCCTCCCGGCCTTTCCCCTCTGGGGCTTCCTCAATGGGTCAGTTGCAAACTTTACCGAGACACTCTGCCCTGGTAGTTCTGCACCGGCCCCTGCACTCTTCCTTGAGGTCTCTGGGTCCACAGTCTGAGCTCAGGGAGGTCACCCAGAGCCCATTGCCCCGGACAGGTGGGGCAGGGGGGCTAGCTTGAAGAGCTGGAGGAAGATGGCAGAGTAAGAGTTGGTATGAACCAGCGCCTGCTTAGCCAGACTTCCTAAGCTCCCCACTGGGCCCAGGCCAGGCCCCTTCCCTACACCAGGAGGATCCCAGTTGAGGTCCCCTCCCTGCACCCAGCACTCTCCTCCCTGTTCTACCACTGGGGGAAGGGAGCAGCTCACCTGCTCTGGACCTTGAAAACCTGGCAGGCTGAGGCACAGGAGGTGCAGCCTAGGGTGCTGGTGGCTGCGAGCCTTCTCCCCGACCCTGAAGCGTGGGGCAGGGTTGCAGCAGCTCACAGCCATCCCTGGGCACCATGCATGGAGAAACTGCTCTCCACTGGGCCACCATCCACCTGAGACCTGTGGGGGTTGGGGTGGCCTCAAAGGGCTCCTACTGGCCCCACTGAAGCCAGTCTTGGCTTGGCCGGCCACCCCCTGCACATGCCCCACGGGCCTCATCGTCCTCATGAATCGCCGTGGTCCGGCCGTCCCATCCCAGGAAGTGGCCATCCTGATCACCATGGCTCACTCCTGGGTGCAGTTGGGCCTGCCCAGCAAGCATGTAGGCAGGAGCTGGGCCTCTGAGGGGAAGGAGGATGCATGCCCGGCCAGGGTAGAAGTGGGGAACTTGGCGGTATAAACACAGCTCACCCCCACGTTGTGCCAGCCCCTCGTGCTGCATTCCCAAACCCCTGGGTGCCCCTGCCCAGCACTGTGCTCTCAGGCCTGGGGTGGGGGTGAGGGACCTGGAGCACCGTCCTGAAGGCAGCCCTTGCTGGCTTGGAATCACAGTGGTCAATCCGGGAGGGATGCAGGATGCAAAATTCCGCCTCTCTCTCTCTCTCTCTCTTTTTCTTTCTCTCTCTCTCTCTCTCTCTCTCTCTCTCTCTCTCTCTCTCTCTCTCTCAGAGTGGGCCCTGTGTCTCCGGTGGGCGGGCTTGGGCCTGGGCGAGGCGATCCACATCTCTTGCCTTCGCATTGGGACGTGTCTCTGGTGGGCGGGCAAGGGCTCTGGCAAGGCAATGGGCACCGCTTGCCTTGCCCCAGCCCCCGCCCGCCCCCAGATTGCATTGGGATGTGTTTCCGGTGGGCAGGCGAGGGTTCGGGCAAGGCATCTGCATGGATTGCATTGCCCCAGCCCCCACCCGCCCCCTGGATCGCACTGGGACATGTCTCCAGTGGGCAGGCAGGGCTCCGGCAAGGCAATCTGCACCACTTGCCTTCGACCCAGCCCCCGCGCATTGGCACGGGTCTCCAGTGGGCAGGCGAGGGCTTCGGCGAGGCAATGGGCACCGCTTGCATTTGCCCCAGCCCCCGCCCGCCCCCAGATCGCATTGGGATGGGTCTCCGGTGGGCGGGCTTGGGCTCGGGCTAGTCGAACTGCACCGCTTGCCTTCGCCCCAGCTCCCGCCCACGCCCACGATGGCACAAGGAGTGGGCCCCCTGTCTCTGGTAGGCAGGTGAAGTGATTGGCACTGCTTGCCTTGGCCCCAGCCCCCACCCCTCCGGTGGGCGGGGGAGGGCTCCGGTGCAGTGACCAGCACCGCTTGCCTTGGCCCCAGCCCCCGCCAGCACCCATGGCAAACGGGGGCCTGGATGGTGGCTTACGCTGTCCTACCCTGCCTTCAGTATGCAAATTAGCCGCCATCTTTGTTGGCGGTTAACCGCCATCTTGGCTGGCAGTTAATTTGCATGTCACCCTGATTAGCCAATGGGAAGGGTAGCGGTCGTACGCCAATTACCATGTTTCTCTTTTATTAGATAGGATAATGTCCTTTTCTGTCTTTGGTAATATTCTTTTCCCTGGAATCTACTTTATCTAATATTAATATAGCCACTCCTGCTTTGCTTTGATTGGGGTATGCATGATATATCTGTTTCCACTCTTTTACAATCTGCCTATATCATAGTTGAAGTGAGTTTCTTGTATATAGCATATGGTAGGGTCATATTTCTTAATTCACTCTACCAATCTCTGTTTTTTAAGTTGGTATATTTAGACCATTTACATTTAATATTATTATTGATTTATTTATAGTATTTTTGAGTGTATCTCTTTGAATAGATTGTTTTGGTAGTTGCCTATCCTTCCTTAGGAACTTTCATTAAAGGAACATTTGTTTCTTCATGCTAGAAACACAATGACAACAACAATAATTATGGTTTCCTTTCTACCTTCTGCCATGTGCCTGGCTCTCTATAATTGATCTCCAAGCATTATTGTTTCAATTTTTCGATGTGAAAATTAAGGAGACTCAGAGTACTAGAGTGATTTGTTCAGGGCTACACAGTAAGAATCTATTTGCCACCAGGCTCCAAGTTGTTCTAACACAGTTAAAAGCATCTGTAGCCTGTGGGATTGTTTTGAGATAGTCTTTTTAGTTAATACGTAGGCTATTCTCCATTTATAATGAAGGCTCTTGTCTACCTTGGGGGAGATGTACTCTTCCTTCTCTCACTTTTCTTTTTCTCAGTTATGTTTCTGGAGACTGCCTGCATCATGGGTTCTGGAAAATAAGGAAGTTTTCAGCAGCAAAGAGTCTGCAGCTAGTAGGTGGCAGTATAGCATCCAATGATTCTAAAAACACCATGAGATGATCTGTCCTAACTTTGGACACATCATTGCTCTCACGGGAAAGTTAGTGCTGCTATTTTCTCCCTACCAATTAAAACAGACTCATTCCTGATGGGTAGATCTTGTGGCAATCATTTATTTCAATTTAAACTCCACCCTAAAGAGATAAATCTTTTCAACCCTGTCAGAATTTCCTTTGTCTATCTCAGCTGCCCACTATTATAATCACACCTTGGACTTTGTCATTACTAGAAATCACATCAGAGCTGAAATCTTGTTTTCAAACATTTTACCTCTCTGACAACTATTTATCCTCCTGGCTCACTTGTTGGAAATTTTCCCATTTCAAGAAACCTATTACTTCATCAAGACTTCTAATAGCTTTTCGCTATCATTACTTTTCTTCCTTCCCTCAGTAGGTTTATCATTATAATCCCTGTATTAGTTAGTCTTTGCTGCAGTAATAAATCTCAGTGGCTTACACAACAAAGCTTACTTCTTACCAATAGTTTTCCTGGCTTAAAAAAAAAAGCAACACATGGACTTTAATATTAGAGAATTTGGCCTTTATTAACTTGCTTACACATAAACAAAGCTACTCTTTGCTCATCTGTCCTAACCTATGAAGTATGGCACCAACAGACCCCCTTCCATAGCTTTTACTATGTAATCCGATGACTCCTCCCCTCAAAACATGGTGAAAAAAAAGTTTTCACCCAGGGGAATGCTAACCAGAAATATTAAATTCTAAAGTTTCAGCAGATGCAACACCAGAAATAGGTTATGGACAGCTCTTACTTAAGTCTTTTACCTAAATAGTATAATAGAAAGTTATGGCGTTAGCCAAAAGAGCACACAGGTTTCCCACTGAACTTTGTTCTAATGGGTTTCAATGTTCTGTGACAGCTTTTGGCCAAGTTGTTTTTATTAAAAAGTACTGATTTTATGCCCGGCCGGTGTGTCTCAGTGGTTGAGCATCGACCTATGAACCAGGAGGTCACAGGTTCGATTCCTGGTCAGGGCACATGCCCGGGTTGTGGGCTCAATCCCCAGTAAGGGGGCGTGCAGGAGGCAACCGATCCATGGTTCTCTCTTATCATGGATGTTTCTATCTCTCCCTCTCCCTTCCTCTCTGAAATCAATAAAAAAATATTTAAAAAAAGTACTGATTTTAAAAACTAACTTAAAAACTGCCACACAAAAACCCCCAGACGGTCCACCAAACATTCTCCTTTCGTTCTGAAGGTTTTACAGTGCATTGTAATCATTAACCAGTCTTTATACTATTAAACTTCAATGGCCACTTGAGACAGTTTTGAGATCATTCTTCCACCAACGACTAAGACGGGTGGCAGGTATTGGGGCTAATATTCATTTGGCCTTCTGAGCTTTCTGGGCAGACTGGTGACTGCCAGCCCCCGCTGTCTCCTTGTTCACTGTTTTGATGGCACCTGTGTGTCTGTCTCATGTCATGAACAGCAAAACGGCTGAGAGGAGGACAGTCAGAGAAGCTCCCAACACACACGGGCTTGCCAGGAACCGTATTAATGATGGCAGCAAATTTGCAGGCAATGTGAGCTGTGTGACAGTTCAGCACAGGTGCATGTCTGGCACTGATCTGGCCTGGATGGTTCAGGGTAATCACCTGAGCTGTGAAACCAGCTGCCTCCATTTCTGGATCATTTTTGCTGTCACCAGCCACATTGCCATGACAAACATCTTTGACAGACACATGCTTGACACTGAAGCCCACAATGTCCCCAGGAAGAGCCTCACTCAAAGCTTCATGGTGCATTTTAACAGACTTCACTTCAGTTGTAACATTGACTGGAGCCAAGGTGACCACCATGCTGGGTTTGAGAACACTAGTCTCCACTCGGCCCGCATGGACAGTACCAATGCCTTCAATTTTGTAGACATCCTGGAGGGGCAGATGCAGGGGCTTGTCATTTGGACGAGTTGGTGGCAGGATGCAATCCAGAGCTCCAAGCAGCCTGGTCCATTGGCATTGCCATCTTTATGGGGGACTTTCCACCCCTTGAACCAAAGGATGTTAGCACTTGGCTCCAGCCTGTTGTCGCCATTCCAACCTGGAACTGGCACAAATGCTGCTATGTTAGAGTTGTAGCTAATTTTCTTAATGTAGGTGCTGACTTCTTTAACAATCTCCTTGTATCTCTTCTGCCTTGTAGGGTGGCTCAGTGGAATCCATTGTGTTAACACCAACAATCAGTTGTTTCACACCCAGTGTGTAAGCCAGAAGGGCATGCTCACAGGTCTGCCCATTCTTGGAGATGCCTGCTTCAAGTTCACCAGCATCAGCAGCAACAATCAGGACAGCAGTCAGCCTGAGATGTGCCTGTAACCATGTTTTTGATGAAGTCTCTGTGTCCTGGTGCATCAGTGATCATCACATAATACTTGCTGGTCTCGAATTTCCACAGGGAGATATCAATGGAGCTACTACCCTCATGTTCAACTCTTGATTTATCCAATGCAGGCATACTTGAAAAAGCCCTTCCCATCTCTGCAGCCTCCTTGTCAAAAATTTCAATGGTTCTTTTGTTGATCTCATCACATTTGTAGATCAGATGGCCAGTAATGGTAGACTTGCTGGAATCTACATGTCCAACTATGATGATGTTGATATGAGTCTTTTTCTTTCCTACTTTGGCTTAGATTTAGGGGTAGTTTTCATGACACCAGTGTTCCGGTGGCAAACCTGTTGTGAAAAAGCCGATTTGTTTTGTCACACCTGGGCTTTAGGCTCCAGCATCTCTTGTTCTAAGACTAGGTGAAGGAGCAATGGCTGTACAGAAATGTTCTTTCCATGGCGCATAGTGGGAGCATCAGAAGGGAGTGAAAAGATGCAATCTTTTAAGGCCTCAGCTTGGAACTGGCACATTGTCACTTCTGCCTGCCTATTGGTCAGAGCAAGTCACATGGTCAAGCCCAATGAGTCAGGGAACTGTTTTCCATTCCCTGGGATGGAAATATTTGCTTGACAATAATAAATCGACTACACCTCTTCGATCAATTCCCTAGCCCCTCTCTCTTTGTAGAATCAATCCTGGATGAACACAAGTATTTGTCTTCTTTCTGTATATACCTGAGCAGCAGAACATTGGTTGGAGGAAAACTGTGCAACTGAGCTGACTGATTTCCCCATAAATGAATTATCTCAAGTCTCACCGGACACTAACCATGCCATGTCTAAATTTTTTCCTATTTATTTATGTAATACCTTATTGTGGTGAAATATGCATAATGTAAAATTTAACATCTTAACCATTTCTAAGTGTACAGTTCAGTAGCGTTAAGTGTATTCCCATCGTTGTGCAACCAATCTCCAGAACTTGTTCATTTTGCAAAATTGAAACTCTGTGCCCATTAAACAATAACTCCCCATCCCCCACTTCCCCCAGCCCCTGGAAACTACCATTCTACCTTCTGTTTCTATGGATCCGATTACTCATATGAGTGAAATGACATCGTATTTGTCTTTTTGTGATTGGCTTATTTCACTTAGCAGAATGTCCTCAAGATTCATCCATGGTGGAACATGTGTCAGAATTTCCTTCCTTTTTAAGACTATATAATATTCTATTGTATGTATAGACCACATTCTGTTTATCCATTCACCCATCAATGGACACCTGGCTGTGTTGCTTATACCTTTTGGCTATTGTGAATAATATTGTTATGAATATGGATGTATAAATAACTTTGAGATCATGCTTTCATTTCTGTTTGGTATATACCCAGAAGTGGATTTCTATATCATATGGTAATTCTCAGTTTAATTATTTGAGCAAACTTTATGCTGTTTCCATAGTATTTTAAGTATTTCCCACAATTTTACACCTACCAACAGGGCAGCCAAACATTTTATATTTCTCTGGAAAGCCTACTTTGGCCCTTCCACCAATGACCATGTCATACTGTATCTTTCTTCCTCAAAACTTCCTCTTCTCCTCCCCCATTTTTTACTTTTAGGTTCAGCTGCTGACTTTGCCTCATTTCACTGAGAAAGTAGAAGCCATCATATGTAAACATACTTATCCTCCTTGTATCAGACAACATTCCTTCATTTTCACCATCTTCCCATTCTGGTTCCTGTTTGTTACAACCAAAGAGACATACCTGCTGCTAACCCCTTCATCTAATCCCACCCTCACCCTCATTTCAGGGATTCATCACCTCATTCATTTTTCCCATCACCCTTACTGAACTGAGTATTTTCTATCTTTAAAAAAACTCTCCCTTGAGCCCTGGCCAGATAGCTCAGTTGGTTACAGCATCGCCAATCAGGGCACATACAAGAATCAACCAGTGAACGTATAAATAGCTGGAACAACTAGTCTCTCTCTCTCTCTCTCTCTCTCCCTCTCCCTCTCTCATCAATTATATATGTAAAAAACCAACCAACCAAGCAAACAAACAAAAACCACTCTTCCTTAAGAAGTTCACATCATCTATGTGGTATTCTTGCCAAAAATGTTTAACCTGAATCCAATCATGAGGAAACAATCAGACATATCCAGGATGTGGGACATGCTACGTGACAACTGGCCTGAACTCTTCTAGCTGTCAGTGCCATGAAAGACAAAAATAAATAAAAATAAAAAATGCAGAGGCTGTTTTAGATTAAGGAGAGTACAGAGACGTGACAACCAAATGGAATGTATGAATCTCAATTGGATCCAGCGCCAGGAAAAAAGAAAGCAGCTAGAGGGGATGTTTCTGGACTGTTGGGGAAATGTGAATATGGTCTGTTTATGAGGTAATGTCATTGCTTCAATATTAAATTTCTTCAGGTGGGATATGGCATTGAGGTTACATAGGGGAATGGTCTTGTTCTTAGGAAAAGCATGGTGAGTATTTAGGAATATCTACAACTTTTTTTTCAATGATTCACCCCAAATGAATATATATATTTTTATCTAATAAAAGACAAAAAGGGTAATTGACCGTACCTTCGCACACTTCCCATGGGCTAATCAGGGCAACATGCAAATTAACTGCCAACAAAGAAGGCAGTTAATTTGCATACGTAAGCTCCAAGCGGTGAAGCAAAGCCAAACGGCCCCAAAGCCGGCCGAGCAGTGAGGCCTCCTGGCCCTGGGATCAGCAGAGCCGTGAGGCCTCCCGGCCCCCGCGCCAAGCGGAGCCTCGAAGCCTGATGGCTGGGGGTGGAGGGGGGGGCTCTGGCCGGAGCCCAGCCAGAGCCAAGGCCTGGGTCCCAGGTGCCAGAGGAAAACTGGTGCCAGCAGCCAAGGGAAGGGAAGGCCTATTGCACGAATCTCTTCGTGCAACAGGCCTCTAGTATATATATATATGAATGGGGGAAGTAAATGTGGCAGTGTTAACAAATGATGACTAAAGAAAGGTAAAGGGTGAAGAGGAGTGCATTGTATTCCTCTTTCAACTTTCTGCAGGTTTGAAACTTTTCAAAAGAAAAAGTTGATCAGAAAAGAAAAAGAATCTTCCCTTGAGTCATATCTGCCTGTAGCTATACCCAGTTTATGAGCCATTCTCAGCTCAGTGATTGAGCCATTCACACACAGAGCTTCTGCCCTCACTTCCCTTCATCACTGGTCCATTCCTGCAGGCGCCTGCCCCTGAAACTGCTCTTGTCGAGGTCCTGATGGCCTCCAGGCCAGCAACTCCCAGACCAGCATTCCACACAGCTGGTCACTCCCTGTCCTCCAGGTGCTCCTGTCTCTCAGCCTCAGAGACACCTTCTGGTTGCCCTTACCTCAGTGGTCTCTTCTTGTTTATCTTCCTTGCTTGCTCCTTTGCTCTCTCCAACCTCTAAATTTTGGGCTCCTCAGGTCCCAGCCTTTCTTCTTTAAAGCTCTCCTCAGGCGAGTTTATCTGTTCCTATGGAGTTAAAAGCTGAATTTGTTCTAATGATGTCCAAGTGTACACCTCCAGCCTGGATGTTTTCCACATTTGATGGCTTCACATCTGCCCTTAAATATTTCACATACATCTCAAGCTTAACTTTCAATTATTTTTTCATTAATTGAGCAAATATTGAGTGTCCTCTATGTACTAGGCAACTGCTCTAAACACTGGGGTCATGGAGAACAAGCCCATTATGGCCGTGCCATTCCTTGTGAAAGACAGCAAATATGAAAGAATTTGATGATCATACGGGCTATAAAGAGAATACATTTTTTAAAAAGGGGATATATTAGAGGCTGCTTGGGTGGATCTATACCTCTTCTTTGGGTGCCCAGAGAAGGCCTCTTTGAGGAGGGTACAATGAAATGGAGCTCAGGATGAGAAGTGGGGGCCAACAAGAGAAGATTTAGAGATGGGGAGTCGAGGTAGAGGAGGTGGCTAGTTTAGCTGCCCTCAGGTGGGAATGTGCTTGGCATGTTCCAGACCTGAGGTGTATCCCCAGAACTCAGAACCTTGATCCCCTCTCTCTCTGGTTCATATTTTTGAATTCCAGGGCATTTAAGACATGCTGATGAACTCTATCTGAAAAACCTTCACTTGACCTTGAATTCCTATTTTAGAATCTTCTTCAAACTAGGAACTGCTCTCTGTCTGGGATGGAAAGCACTTTGATTCTTGTATTGGCAAAGGGTCAGCATGTTAGTTCAGAGTTTCACCAATCCTTTCACCCTCTACCATGTGCAAAGCCCAAACAGTAACCTGAAATCTTGAAGGGGGAAGGTTTCCATCCTCCACGGTTCCCTCCCAGCCCACCCTTACCCTCTGTAGCTGCCACTGTATTCCTGGAGACTGGAGGGGAGCCATGAGAGAGGGTCCTGGTACTAACAGTTGTCACATTGCTGTAAGTGTCTCTCCCAGCAAAGTGGAAAAGGTGACTTGACTCTGTTTTATAATCTTTCCTGGGTAGGATTGGTAGCCAATGATAATAAAATAAGCCTCCCTCAGGGCTAGATCCCATTAGGCCTTTGCTAATGAGGCAAAAATCCATCTTTTCCTAAATGAGGCGCGCGCCTGTGTGTGTGTGTGTGTGTGTGTGTGTGTGTGTGTGTGAGAAACCACTCCTTAAATAAATTTGAAACATACTTAGAACTTAATTTTTTTTGAGTCAGCAATGCATTCATATCTTTCTAAAACTTAAAACATTAAAAAAGTGTAGCAAATAAGTGAAATAAGCCAGTCAATGAAGGAAAAATACCACATGATCTCACTCATTCATGGATAATAGAGACCATTATAAACTTTTGAACAATAATAGATACAGAGGCAGAGCTGCCTCAAACAGATTGTCAAACTGCAGCAGGAAGGCCGGGGAGGGTTGCGGGGCAGGAGGTAGGGGGGTAAGAGATCAACTAAAGGACTTGTATGCATGCATAGAAGCATAACCAGTGGACATAAGACATTGGGGGATAGGGGAGGCTAGGGGATTGTCTAGGGCGGGGGGATAAAATGGACACATATGTAATACCCTTTGTAATACTTTAAGCAATAAAAAAAAAAAAAAAAAAAAAGTGTAGCAAAAAAAATGTTTCCCCACACCCCTGTCCCTAACCTCCCATTTCCTGTCCTCCTCCATCCCCTGCCCTGCAAATGGATAACCACTATTATCAGTTTCTTGTGTATCTTGTGTGAGGACCCACTTGGAACCCCAGAATTGGAACAAAGATTATTTTAAGCTAAAGATGTTTGAGATTCAACAGATACAGAAAGAAGCCTTCTCGGAGTTTCCCTTATCCAACTCAAAGCAGAAACCTCAGAGAAATGAGGACTGCTATGAATTCCCTCTTCAGGGCAGCTTCTGCTACCAGGAGAGAGAGAGAGAGAGAGAGAGAGAGAGAGAGAGAGAGAGAGAGAGAGACCAAGAGTAAATATACCATAAATCTCATGAAGAAGATGAAAGAGTATCACACCTGCACGAGCAAACATTACCACAAACTTTCTTATCTCTGGTTTATTCTCCTAAAAACCCACTTGTCTTTCCTAAAGAAACCTTTTTGTTCTTTCTGGAGAAGCCCTTTTCCCTCCCTTTCCCTTTCTTCTACTAAGTATATAAATATAAAAGGCCCAAATTCCAAAGACCGCTTTAATTTAGTCATCACTGAGCACTCCCTCATGTATGCATAAATAGGTTCTGACTTCCCTCTTGCTGATCTGTCTTTTTTTTTTTTTTTTTGATCTGTCTTTTGTTTAGTCTACAAGCCTCCACCTTCAGAACCTAAGAGGATAGAGGAAAGTTTTTCCTCCCTGACACTTGCAAAGACATTTTTTGGTATATATACATATACTAGTATAACTATGTAAGCAAATATATTCTTCTCACCCTCCTCATACATATAGCATTTATTTATTTATTTATTTATTTATTTATTTATTTATTTAAACAGATATGATTTCACTCTATAAAACTGTTATACATCTTGCTTTTTTTTTCACTTGAAAATATATCTTGGAACCCTTCCAATATCTGTACATAGAGAGCATTATTATTATTATTATTATTATTATTATTTTTAAAATATGTTTTTTTATTGATTTCAGAGAGAGGAAGGGAGAGAGAGAGAGGGAGAGATAGAAACATCAATGATGAGAGAGAATCATTGATCAGCTGCCTTCTGCGTGCCTACAGGGGATCGAGCCCAAATCCCAGGCATGCGCCCTGACCGGGAATCGAACTGTTCCTTCTGGTTCATGGGTTGATACTCAACCACTGAGCACCACTGGCTGGACTTCTTTGTATTTTAAGAAATTCTTATTCTTTTTTGTTGTTATT